AAACCCTTGTCTCCTTCCTCACCCATCAATTCCCCCACTTCAGATTCTTAATTCTAGAGTCCCTTCCCTAGCTCAAACTTAGTTCATGCCATTTGTTCCCTCCATCTCAAGCCATCTACTAATGCCTACAGCCTGTGAACTTTTAAACTCTGCCAGTCATCAGATGCCCTGTAAAGTGGGTGGGAATCCTGACTCAGCTGTCAGGACTGTTGCTCTTGTAGCTGTTCTGTGAATATATGTTGGCATAGAATACACAAAGACTTGCTTTGTAGTTTCATTATTATTGTTATCTCAGCACTTTATTGTTATTTTTACAACATAGAAAAAGTCCAACTAATATATATTCATGATGTACTTTCTGAGTTGTAAACCTTACAACTGATGTTTCAGGGCATAAGTCATTAATATGTTGGCCACCACTGACATATTTGGAGAAGCTTAAAATAATACTGAAGAACCTTAAGCTATTGTTTTGAGGGATAACCATTTCTTCACCCCCTACCCCCCTACAGGAACTCAAGTTGTGCTCCACGAAAAAAAAAAAAAAAAAGAACCAAATTTTGCTTGAGATTAGTGAATTGTTTTCAGTCTAAATCTAAGCAGCAGGCCAACATAACAGAAAGAACACCATTTAAAAGTATGTTTCTTCAGAATAAGACTGTCATCTTATCCCTGTCTTTTCACACCTAGCTCTGTTGGCTCCTGGCACAGTATCAGATTCCAATAAAAGTTGATGCATCTTGTTTTAAATAAACATAGTGGTCTTGGTGAATACACCTATCCAAGTAAATATCCTAAAATACACTAAATTATTTAAATTAAACTCAGTCTTCTCTCTTCCTTCCAAGTCCTTTCCTTTGTTGCTTATTTATACAGAGTGCAATTAAAGGTTGGCGAACGACTGTTGCAGATGATAGAATATTGGTTGGGTGCCCAGATCAGGAGGGGATATTCACACCCTGACTTATTCTTATCACACTATCTTTGGATAAGGCAGTCAAGAATCTGTTTGAAGCTTTTGTATTTAGCCTGTCACTTTGTTTATTATTTGTCTAGAGTCTTTTATGGCCCATAAAAGGAGGCAGAGTCCTGGAAGGAGTTCTTAGAGGCGAGGCCCCTGTTCCAATCATCTTCATGCCCCTTGTTAACACCCTTCCATCTAGTTAAAGACGGAAGGAAATGACTATCTTTTATTGAATATCTGCTAAATCAGGCACTTATGGTACACAGAACACGTGATCCTCCTCAATTAATGCAACAATCCCAAGACGTAAATTCTCTTAATTTAGAATTGAGAAAACTGAAGAATGCCAGCCTTAAAGGACATTGCCACAATCATATAGTCACACGCATCACCACCTCACACACAACTGTGGGCAGAGTGGCCAGTTCAGCTTACCCATTCAGTGGGTGACTGTTCTAAAGTCTGTGCTCTCAAATCCCGCAATCTTTACCCTATCACGGGCTGCATCCCCAACAAATGTGCTTAATTTACAGCAGCAAGGGTCTGAGATATTTTGGTGAAAGCACAATGGATTTCATATCTGAGTATGTGTGTTTAGGTATATACATGTCTAATTATATTTATAGCTAGCTTTTTTTTCATAGCGATTCAAAGAAGTTATGCGTTCACTTCAGTCAAGAGCTCAGAAGCTCTCAGATTCTGGACTGTAGGTTCTTTCATTTAAGCTGCCTCATTATCCATATTTTAGAGGAATATTTGGGATTGGAGGAATCAGCTAAGAAGACCAAGCAGGACCTACAAGAGTAATGACCCAGACCTACATGCTAGAGGTAGAGAATGAACTCTCACAGCTGTCCTCTGACATTCACACGTGTCATACATGCTCTGTGGCATGTACACACCTACACACGAAATAAAATGTCATGTAAGAAAATAAAAGAGAGTGACTGTAAGACATTGTGAGCTACTAGAGGAGGGATGGAGACGAGTCCAGCTTTTTCTCTGAGCTACAAAGAATGGGAGGGAGCAAGTGAGGTGTGGGAGGGAATTCAGACCTGAAAAACAGATGATTTGCTCACATGCACATGAGCTTTGTTATAATCTTAGCAAAGTCTCCCTTTTTCTTAGAGCAGTGTTCTCAACTTTCCCAAGGCTGTGACCTTTTAATGCAGTTCCTCATGTCGTGGTAACCCCCCCCCCCACCATAAAACTATTTCATTGCTACTTCATGACTGTAATTTTGCTATTGGTATAAATCGTAATGTAAATATGTAGGATATCTGACATGTGACCCTTCCTCCTCCCCTCAAGGGGTCACAATCCGCAGTTTGAGAAACACTCGTTTAATTCACCACGATTAACAGAATCATCTCCTGAAGCCTTGAGAAAATCATGCAGTCACTTTGATTCTGTCTCCTCTGCAGGTGGACAATGCAGCCTTATGGACTACAGCCAGGATTTCCGCATCTTCTTAGAATCCCCCATGACAGTGCCCCTTACCAGCAGGAAGTAGTTTGGAAAGAACGATGCCCAAATTCCCAAATATTTTCTATAAATGTTTGTTTTCATTTAAATGGACTTGGTTATATAATATATATATATATATATATATATATATATATATATATATATAAATTCCTACTCACCAAAAAATATATGAATAAATTTATGTGTTTTTCAGGAAAAAATATTTCAGAATGCTCAGCCTCCTCTTATTGTCTTGTCTTTCTTTTCTGACATAACCACTGGTTGGGGTAAGACAACAAAGAATTTATTAAAACATTTCTCCATCTATCTTTTACTCTACAATTAAAATCACTAGAAGGAAAAGTACAGAATACCAAACTATTTATATTTTAATTATGTGATGCTTCTAAAACATATTAAACCTCAATATTCTTTGAAAAAAAAGAAAGGCCTATTTCATCTAGGCTTTTGTTGAATCAGCTTGTGATCCCCTGCCTCAGCTTCCTAAATGATATGATCACAGGGTTGTATCACTACATCCAGCATTTGTGTGCAGGTAAAACACTGTGAGAAAGTCACTGAAGAGAGTGAGGTCCATGAAAGGTCTCTACTTTATCTTTGTTATATGCAATGCTTACTGGCTTTTATTTCCCATGTTCTCTACCAGTCTCATCCTGTGCCTGTGTTTGTTCTTCTGTCTTCTCCTCCCTGCCTTACAAACCTCCCCAGCGCTCACGTTCCTCTGATACTGCGAGTCCTTTTCCAATTGCTCTCAGCTGCCCATCTCCATCTGTCGTGCCTTAATATGTGCACACTTTATCCGTTCTGCTTAGTTCTGTGTGTGTAAAGGGTAGAAAACTTTTTTTTGCTTTCTCTCTCTTATATTCCATGGTATCTTGTTTGAGGGGGAAAATTCTATCAGATTAATATAATTCCCATTTTTAAAAAAAGGCAGAGCAAAACTAATTACAATTAATAGAGCTTCAAAGATTTAGAAGTTAGGCTCACAACATACATCTTATGACTCCCCACATATATGTTTTCTTTCCCCACAGCAAGCAGTCTCCTGCAAAATCTTAAACTGTCTGAGGAAAATGACTGTCAGTGGAAAATGACATGTTCTGATGCACAGAACTTTCAAATATATTCAGGGACTCTCTTCTTTGGTAGAAGCTGTTTGTGTTGTCATTTGCCCATGCCATGGCCATCTTCCTCATGTCTGGATACCCAGTGTGCTGAACTAGGGATCTGGCTGCTCCTTGCATATATTTTTGTTGTTGTTGTTGTTGGCTAACAGTACAGAAATTGTTAAAGGTGCCATGCTTAAGATATACTCTAGATTTCATAAAGTGTATTGCACATGGGCATATTTTTAAAGCAATGTAATTGAAGGCTATTTTGTACATACACACCTGTAAATTTGTAAAGGAGGATAAAAATGAATTGGATTCAAAAATGAAAAAAAAAAAGGTGCCCAGACTAAATTATGTTCACCATTTAATTCTTTTAGTTTTTGCTAACCTTCAAGCAGCACCTTTCACAAAGCTTTCTTGTTCTACATTTTCAAATTGCTAAGGGGGGGTAATTTAAATTAGTACATTTATGGATAATATTTTCAGTTTAACACCATGGTCACAATGGGGAAGATGATTTCTTCACTGGGTTAAGAAATGAGGGAGACATTTTAAAACACTGTTCTGATATTAAGAAAAATGACATTATAGTGACAAGTATCTATGATATGTAAAAATGAAGCTCGTATCATAGCGACGAGACTTACTTAGTTCACAGACATATCTTCAGGTTTTACCTTTTTTCTATGTAGTAAACTGGCAGGGCATAGTATTTGTCTCCTTTCAAGAAAATGTAAAAAAATTTGCTGAACTGTATTTAGCCTTTCCTTTCATATCTAACTGACAAATAGAGATGAAGCTGAAGTTGAAAGAAAAAAAAATCCCATTGTTAACTAATATTTTCCTTGCAATAAGTTAGCCTTTCATTTATACATATTTTAACGATTTTTAAAATATGTGCATGTGTGCCTGAGTTTATGTATACATGCAGATGTTCACAGAAGCCAGAAGTGGCCATTGGATCTCCTGGAACTGGAGTTACAAGTGACTGTGAGCAGTCTCAGGTCTTCTGTAAGAAAAGCAAGTGTTTTAAACATCTGACCATCTCTCCGGCCCCAGTATAACCTTAGCTTTAGTGGTTTTGACAATGTGTATATTTATTTTCTTTATGTTGTTTAAATTTTTGTCTTACATCCCACATTTTATTAGTCAAAGCTGCTAGTACTGATGTGGAGGCTTCCAAGTGTTTTATATTTTCTTTCACCCTTCCATTCTGGCTTCCAATTATTTATGGAAATGGGCACAAGATGAATCTTTAAGAATTGCTTTGGAGAGGACAGAACACTGGTGGAAAATGGTTCACAATAGTTCAATGAGATGATACAATTAACATTAGTTGTGTAGGGAATTTGTGATGGTGGGCACACACACAGTCAGCAAACTAGAGTCCACAGACAGCACAAACACATGTGACTATTTGAAGCAAGCGAGCTACATTTATTTTGTACTGAGCCAAGCAGAAAATAACTCTAAAGACGAGTTATTTCCTGTTTTGAGGAGCCAAAAAGGCAGTAAACATAGTTGAAAAGAGAAAGACAGATTGTGGTCAAGTTTTCAATGAGTCCAGTGAAGGCACGGTCTCTCCTGGATATTATTTGTGGTTCCTCAGGAAGGATGGCTGGCCTAGACAGAAGCCACTGGACAAATTCCTCTAACTTGGTGGCATTGAGGAAAAACCTCCATTTTCCTCCATGAACAAAAGTGAGCTTGATCCATGTACTGAAGTCAGGGTAAATATAAATATTTGACCTTACCTTTTTACAACTCACGGATGCATTCCGAAGGCTGTTATTTTTCTTCAGATATTTAATTTGAGAAGACACTGTATTTTCCTTAATCGGACCAGTGGGTTCTGGATAACTAGGCACCCTTCCTGATTCTGTTGAAGAGCTTTCAGTGTCTGTGTCCTTTGGGATGTCTGGTGGTAGGAGCTTATGGAACAGTTGTACAATTTCTTTACCCTTTTGTCCCTCCAGAACCTCCAGGCAGCGTATGCTGGAGTAAGAATTCTGTCTTTCCAGTTCCTTCACCTTCTTCTTCAGAGCGTCGATGTCTTCCCTCATCGAGAGGATGTCTTTGGTGGCTAAGATTTGTCTGTCTTCGTTAATGTTTATTCTGGTCTCTAGAACTTCCATCTGATTCTGATAATGGTCAGTCTTATCCTGGATATGTGATATTGCACTGACAATATCAGTCATTTGGCTGAGGAGTTCTGTTTGTCCCACTTTGATGTCTTGGAGCATCACTGTTAGATTCATTTCTTCATTCAAACTGAGAACATCCTGGTCACAGTCGTAAGAATCCATGGCTGGGTGGCTAGTTGAATATGAGCACTGGGTCTTACATTTCTGGTAAACATTTTTAAGAGATCGCCTGATCTTGTGGAGATTTGAAGTCCACACACGTTCAGCAGCAGCCTTCACTCTTTTGGTGTGAAATCGGTACATTTTTTTTTCTCACTGAGATACCAGACACAAAGTGATGGGAAGCATGACAGGAATCAAGGAAAGAAATGATTTTTTTTTCTGTTGGATGGCCTTTATCTTCCTATTTGTTGGAGTTCTTTCCTGGTCACATCATTGAATGTCCCATGGGGACCATCAAAGGCAGCAACAGGCGGGCTTAGGTGGTCTGCCTATCTCTTCCACAGCAGCCTAACTGCAGACCTTTGTGAACTAACAGTCCACAGCATGTGATCCTTACTGTGGCCCTCATCTGATGCTGATGTCACAATGGCCACTGGCCTAGAACACAGATAAGTATAGCGCAGCTGCAGGTATCAACATTTTTTTTTTTTTTTTTGGTTACAGGATGAATTTTTTTTTTCACTTGTAAAAATGATAGAGGACTACAAAGCTTCTGTTTATGTGAGTTATACTAATTTATATAGCATATTATAAACAAACAAAATCTTAAAATCTTAGTTTAAAGACTTATTACATGTAACACAAATTACATATATTTTACAAAAATTAAATTTTCTTTCTCTTTTTAGGACAGGGTCTCATGTGTCCCAACCTGGTCTCATACTATGTAGCTGAGGATGACTTGAACATGAACTTCTGCCACCAACTACCAAGTGCTAGTCACACTGGTTATACCTACCTAATGTCTGTAGTACTGGGAATCAAACCCAGGCCTCTGAGAATCCTAAACAGCTGTCCTGCCTCCATATCCCTAATTCTACTTTCTACAGAAAAGAATATACATACTGCTTTACATATGTGTAAATAAATGTTCAAAATGCCTAGATTAGTGCAGACATGGTGGCATACACTCAGGAGGCAGAGGCAGGAGGATCTCTGTGAGTTTACAGCAAGCCTACAATCTACATATCATGTTCCAGGAGAGCTGGGACCAAACAAACAACCCCCTCACCTCCCCAACACACGCAAAAATGAACCACAATGGATTAATTAAATAAAATTCCCAGATTGACAGAGAAACTTCCATCTTTACATATGTTTCTACATTTGTGAGGTGCTGTTTTGGTCAAAATGTAGGAAGAAAATATGGCCTTGCAGGGAACTATCGTTTGAAGAAAAATTTAACAGTATTTTTCGGATATTTGGCAGCATCATTCTTGCTTATCCTACTAAAACTGGACAAATGGCAATTGTTTTAGAAGTTGTTCATCATGTGTAATCTTAGACCACATCAATGAATTTCATAGTCTTATTACATCCATACTATGAATGGATGTCTAATAACCAGCACTGGCCACAGGGAAAGTAGTTAATTGAATTATGCAGATTTCATAAGTATTGATTCATTTTATTTTATTTTATTTTTAAATTTATTATTTTACATGTCGATCCCAGTTTCCTCTCCCTCCCTTCTTTCCTCCCTCCCTCCTTCCCTTTCTCCCTTTTATCCTCTCTGCCCTCTCACATGCACCCTAACCACCCTCCCCTCCCATCCCCCCACCCCAATTCCATATGTAGGGGAATGCCATCCAGTTGGGGTCATGTAGATCTGACAGGTCATGTGAAGTAGGGACTAGGCTTCTCTCCTGTCTCTAGGTAAGGCAGTTATCCCTCCATGGGGGATGTGTTCGCAAGGTCCTTTTGTTTCTGCCGCTTGGTCTTGTCTTCTCCATCTGCATCTGGGTTCTAGTTCAACTCAGTGTTTAGGTATGGGTGTTTCTCCTGTTTCCAACAGGTATTAGATGAGGGCTCCATGGATAAGTTAGTTGTTGATCTTACTATCTGGGAAGGGCATTTATGGTAGCCTTTCCACAGATGCTCAAATTGTTAATTGGCGGCAGTCTTGTAGTTCTCTAGACCTTTCTTTGTGTTCAATTTTATCTTCAAACCAATATTGGCTCCCTCTTTTATGTTCTCTCTCTCTCTCTCTCTCTCTCTCTCTCTCTCTCTCTCTCTCTCTCTCTCTTTCTCCCTCTCTCTATCCTGTCTTCTATTCCTAACCAGGCTCAATCTTCCTAGTCGCACATGTTTTCCTTTCCTCCCCCTCACTTTCTCCTACTTCTCTCTCCATTCCCTGCCCCCCCACTTCCCCTGTGTTCTGGGGGACTTGTCCCTTCCCCCTCCTGTGAGGGACTTTATATGAATCTCTTAGAAATACACCTTGTATTCTAGTTCCTCTGGTGGTGTGAATTATAGGCTGTTGATCCTTTGCTCTAGGTCTAAAATCCATATATGAGTGAGTACATACTGTGTTCCTCTTTTTGTGACTGGGTTACCTCATTCAGGATGGTTTCTTCAAGTGCCATCCACTTGCCTGTGAATTTCAAGATACCATTATTTTTTTCTGCAGAGTAGTATTCCATTGTGTAGATGTGCCACATCTTCATTATCCATTCTTCACTTGAGGGGCATCTAGGTTGCTTCCAGGTTCTTGCTATTACAAACAGTGCTGCTATGAACATAGTTGAACAGATGTCTTTGTTATATGGATGTGGATCATTTGGGTATATGCATCGATGTTCATCAGGGATATTGGTCTGTAGTTTTCTTTCTTAGTTGTGTCTTTGTGAGGTTTGGGTACCAAAGTTATTGTGGCCTCATAAAAAGAGTTTGGCAATGAACCTTCTGTTTCTATCTTGTGGAACAGTTTGAGGAATTAGTTCTTCCTTGAATGTCTGGTAGAATTCTGCGATGAATCCATCTGGCCCTGGACTTTTTTTGATTGGAAGGCTTTCGATGACTGCTTCTATTTCATTGCGGGTTATAGGTCTATTTAAGTTGTTTGTCTGTTCTTGATTTAATTTTGGTAAGTGATAGTTATCCAGAAATTTGTCCATTTCCTTTGAATTTTCAATTTTTGTGGAATACAGATTTTCCAAGTATGACCTGAAAATTGCCTGGATTTCCTCTGTGTCCGTTGTTATGTTCCCCTTTTCGTTTCTGATTTTAATTTACATGTTCTCTTTCAGCTTTTTCATTAGTTTGGATAAAGGTTTGTCTATCTTGTAGATTTTCTCAAAAAACCAACTCTTTGTTGCATTGATTTTTTTGTATTGTTTCCCTGGTTTCTATTTTGTTGATTTCAGCCCTCAAGTTGATTATTTCCTGGTGTCTACTCCTACGGGGTGAGTTCGCTTCTCTCTGTTCTAAGGCTTTCAGTTGGACTGTTAATTCTCTTATGTGACTATCCTCTGTTTTCTTCATATGGGCACTTAGTGCAATGAACTTCCCTGGTAACACTGCTTTCAACGTGTCCCATAAGTTCGGGTATGTTGTGTCCTCATTCTCGTTGAATATTAGAAAGTCCTTAATTTCTTTCTTTATTTCTTCTTTGACCCATGTGTGGTGCAATTGCACATTGTTCAGTTTCCATGAGTTTGCAGGTTTTCTGCTATTTGTGTTGTTGAATTCCAATTTTAAAGCATGGTGGTCCGATAAGATACAGGGGACTATTCCTATTCTCTTGTATCTGTTGAGGTTTGTTATGCCACCTAGTATGTGGTCGATTTTAGAGAAAGTTCCATGTGGAGCAGAGAAGAAGGTATATTCTTTTGTGTTTGGATGGAATGGTCTATAGATGTCTATTAACCCCAGTTGAGACATAACTTCTGTTCTTTTGTTTCTTTGTTGAGTTTCTGATTTGTGGTCCTGTCTAGTATTGAGAATGGTGTATTGAAATCTCCCACTATAAGTGTGTGAGGTTTTATATGAGCTTTGAGTTTTAGTAGCATTTCTTTTACGAATGTGGGTGCCTTTGTATTATGGGCATAGATGTTCAGAACTGAGACTTTGTGTTGATGGATTTCTCCTGCGATTAATATGAAATGACAGTCTTCATCTCTTTTCATTAATTTTGGTTTGAAGTCTAACTTGTTAGATATTAGGATAGCCACGCCTGCTTGCTTCTTGGTTCCCAACCCTTTACCCTGAGGTAATGTCTATCTTTGAAGCTTAGATGTGTTTCTTGTATGCAGCAGAGGGATGGATTCTGTCTTTGTATCCATTCTGTTAGCCTGTGTCTTTTTATAGATGAGTTAAGACCATTAACGTTGAAGGTGAGTAAGGACCATTTATTGTTGATGCTTGTTTGTTTTAGGTTTGTTGTTGGCAGTGGTATTGTGAATATATTTGTTCTGCTTTACCCTTGGTTTTTGGTGTAGTTGGATTGTCTGTTGCCTACATTTTTGTGGGTGTAGTTACCTTCCTTGGGTTGGAGTTTTCCTTCAATACTTTCTGTAGTGCTGGATTTGTAGATATGTATTGGGAAAATCTGGTTTTGTCATTAAATGTCTTGTTTTCTCCATCTATAGTGATTGAGAGTTTTGCTGGGTATAGTATCCTAGGCTGGCATCCGTGTTCTCTTAATACTTGTAGAACATCTATCCAGGACCTTCTTGTGTTGAGGGTTTCCATAGAGAAGTCAGGTGTAATTTTGATAGGTCTGCCTTTATATGTTACCTGTCCTTTTTCCTTCACTGATCTTAATATTCTTTCTTTATTTTGCATGCTAGGTGTTTTGATTACTATACGTCGAGGGGTCTTTTTTCGTTGGTCCAGCCTATTTGGGGTTCGGTATGCTTCTTGTACTTTCACGGGCATGTCCTTCTTCAGATTGTGAAAGTTTTCCTTGATGATTTTGTTGAATATGTTTTCGGCACCTTTGAGCTGGACTTCCTCACCTTCCTCTATGCCTATTTTTCTTAGGTTTGGCCTTTTCACTGTGCCCCACATTTCCTGGATGTTTTGTGTTAAGGATTTGTTGGATTTATGATTTTCTTTGGTTGATGAATCTATTTCTTCTAGTTTATCTTCTGCGCCTGAGATTCTCTCTTCCATCTCTTGAATTCTGTTGGTTATGCTTGCATCTGTAGTTCCTGTTTTTTTGCCCAGTTTTTCTATTTCCAGCATTCCTTCAGTTTGTGTTGCCTTTATTTCCTCTACTTCAGTTTTCAAGTCTTGAATTGTTTCCTTCACCTGCTTAATTGTTTTTTCTTGGCTTTCTGTACTGTCTTTACTTTCCTTAAGGAATTTGTTCATTTCTTCCACTTTTTTGTTTGTTTTTTTCTTCCATTTCTTTAAGGGATTTTCTCACATCTTCTTTGAGGGCCTCTAACATTTTTATGACGGTAATTTTTAAGTCGTTCCCTTCTGCTTCCTCTGCTTTGTTTTGTTCCATTCTAGTTGGGGTAGATTCCCTAGATTCTGGTGGTTTCATGCGTGTCTTTCTGTTGTTAGGTGTTTTCTTGTATTGCAGTCTTCCCATAGCTTCTTCCAGTAGGTGTTGGTGGGGACTCCCCCT